CCCCCTCCCTGCTCAGGCCTGCGCTGCTACGCCAAATTCCACCGGAACCGGAGGGTCACACGGAGGAAGGGACGCTGCGTGGAGCCCGAGACGGTCAGCGGCGACCAGGGGTCCTTCATCAACGTCTAGCGGCCCGCGCGACGCCTCCCGCCGCCTGGGGACTGAGCGAGGAGGCTGGAGGAGCCAGGCAACTTGTGTGTAACCAGCAGCGGAGGATCAAATGGGGGCCGATGACTGAGGCTGCGAGCTCAGGCCCAGAACACGCAGCCGCACGGGGAATGGCTGGGCGAACAGCCCTGCCCAGGAACGGCGACACCCCAGCACCCATCACCCAAGTCCTGGGGGTACCCAGGCTGCGGGGACCCCCCCCCCCGGGTGTCCCAGTTCTCCGCGATGGAAATGTCGAGAGTGCCCTCTACTGTCCAATCCTGGAACTGCACCAGCTCCTCCCTCCCCACCCGATTTCCCAGAGATTTTAGAGCGGAACAGACCTGGAAAGTCGCTGAGACAACAGAGCCCAAGGGCAGGAGATGAATACGGAGCACCTCCTGGGTGCCAGGCCCTGTGCTAAACCCAGCGTGCACGGCTTCCGTTAGTTATCACAGCGGCCTTTTAAAGTAGGTGCCGCCGTTTCACAGTGCGGGAATCGTGGCGCAGATGAGTTACAGGACTGGTCCAGGGTCCCTGATGGTGCCCTTCAAGTCGTAGCAGTGTAGGGGTGCCCTGGGGATCAGGCTAAGGTGCAGGCTCTGAACCAGTTGATTGTTCACTTCTAACCGGCTCCAGGCATGCCCTTCCTGCCCGCCCGGAGGCGCCACTGAGCACACCCAGGTCCCAGGGAGCAACAGGGGTCTGAACCCCCAAGACCCAGGTACTTGGTCCTGTAGAATGAGGACTTGCTCCAGGCTCTCTGTGGTGATGGGGGGAGCCCCTGAGGGGCCCTTTGTTGTGGTGAAGGCGCAATAATTGTTTCCTTCCTTTTGCGGACAGAGGCAGGCGTGTTATCTTTAAAAAAGAAACTTAAATGTGTGACCAGCGCCTGCATGCCTTGGCATGACTTGGGCAACGGCCCGGTGCTCTGGGAGTTGCTTTTCTGGTGGAATGTGTTTGGGGGACCCCTAATTCTGTTCTGTGTATTTCTATGTCTCTGCTCACCCCATCCTGGGACATGAACTTGGAAGTTGGCCTGAGAGCGTCTACACCTTAGCTTTTGTAGTTTATGTCCTTTGAGAATCTAATGCAAGCATGGACTCAAAAACATGTGATCCACGTGCGCCCTCTTTGCTTACGTCTTCCTGCGTCCCAGGGCTCCCAGAGTCCGTCCCAGACAGCTCCACCCTTCCTGTGGCAGAGCCACCCCAAGGAGGGGGTCCTTCTGAGGCTGAGGTCTGAAGCTGTCTCCTGCTTCCCCCTAAACATCTTTCCCAGCAGATCTGGCTCTGGGGACCACCCCAGGAGAGCTCTCTAAACCCCACACCTGGCATCTCAGCCCAGTCCAACCCTCTGATTCAAGCAAACCAGGTTGCAATTGAAAAAAACCTTCACGGCCCCAGGTCCTGGCTGTCAGGACAGGGCTCCTCTGGAACCCTCCCTCGGAGCTGGAGGTCAGGTACAAGGAAAGCAAGCAGATCAGGAGAAACCAGATAGGCTTATTCTTCTCTCCCTATTCAAGTCCCAGGGGCATGGGAATCTGGTGGGGGGAGAGGCCGGGAAGAAACTGACAGCCGGCCAGGTCAGCGTTTGGCTGAGCTCCCCCCCCCCCCCCCCCGGGGCTTGGAGGCGTCCCCCCCCCCCCCCGGCTGTGTGTGACTCGAGGTTATGCCGTTGTAGAACCTTAAGTGGGTGGCTGCGGGCAGGGAGCCCCATGCTGCTGTGGGGTGTTCTAGGGCGTCAGTCGTGGAAAACGTGATCAGGACAAAGCTGCCCAGCGGGGACTTCCAGGGTGAAAATTCGGGGCTGACCCTTTGCCCTGGCTCCCTCTGTGAGGGGGGGTAGGTTCTCTTAACTCCAGACTTAGGGGCCCCAAAGCCCCCTCAGTGCTGAACCAAGCTCTCTGCCCCGAAGTCCTTCCTTAGCTGGAGCTTCAGTGTCTTTTACTGGCACAGAAGTCGGTTTCCAGCAATCTGGGCCTTGGTAAATTTATCCAGGGCCAGGAAAATGTCAGGCTTTGGCGGCTGTGTGTTCTCTGACACGCTCCACAACCTTGCATAGCTCACGACAGCCGGCCACGATAAAATGAGGGGTGCACATTTAAATTTCATAATTTCTACCTTTCTCAAAAATCTTCTTCTGATATTCTAAAGTGTATTTAAAAATGAAGACACCTCTCTGGCTTTTCTTAAAAGAGTTATGTATGTATACAAGAATGGGGAGTACAGGCCAGAGGTTGGGGGTGGTGAGAGGATTCCCCAGAGACAGAGCTGGGGGGAGCAGAACAGGCCAACTGACGAAGTCCACTGCTGAGGGGAGCAGCGAGTGGGCAGGAGAGGTCTGCCGCGCCCTGGGGTCACTCCCTGGCCGGGGATGGACCTGCTGCAGCAGCAGCTGCAGACAGCTCAATAGTGCTGCGCTTTAACCCGTTGCGCCACCAGGGAGGGCCCCAAAATGCAGATGCCCCCTTAACTGGCAGGCCACACAGAAGCGGGCAGCAGGTGGGTTTGGCCCAAGGCGGCCAGTTTGAGAGACTGAGGAGAGCCAAGTGCCAGCCAGCAGCTCCTGGGAAGGCGCCCGCACCCTCTGCCCCGTCCTCCAGGCTCAGCCGTTCCCACGGGGCTGCCTTTCTGGGCTGTCTGCTGACGTCAGGAGCGGCGCCCCAAGCTGCTGGGAGCAGGCTGCGGGTCAGAGCAGGGGCACAGTGGAGGCCGCGGGGCCAGCCTCATAGCCTCTCATGGTGGACGCAGCCTCAGGTGAAATCCCACAGCCACACCGCCTTTCCCACCCCCAAGCCCTGGGCCCTGGGCCCTCCCGCCGGCCTCCACACGCCCCACAAGGCCCAACCTGGAGGTGGCAGTGAGCACACAGCTCCCGGGGCAGCCTTCTCTGCCCCAGGGAGACAGTGAACACCCATGGACCCCGCAAGGAAGGTGTTTTGTTTTTTTTTTTTAAAGATTTATTTGTGCATACAGAACTGGGGTACAAGCCAGAGGCTCAGGGGCGGTGAGAGGCTTCACCAGAGACAGAGTGGGGAGCAGAACAGGCAGATCGACAAAGTCCACTGCTGAGGGGAGCAGCGGGCGGGTCAGGAGAGGTCTGCCGCGCCATGTGGTCACCTCCGGGGCAGGCGGGAATCGAACTCATGCGGAAGCGGCTTTAGCTTCTCAGTGCTGCGCTTTAACCCGCTGCGCCACCAGGGAGGGCCCGAGGAAGGTGTTTAAAAGCCAGCACAACAGTAAGGGGGAAACAGGTGTCGGGAGAGACAGTGGAGACACAGCCCGCTCATCTGGGGTGGGTCCCCGGCCTGGACTTTCAGGGTCCCTCCTCACTCTGTGGTCCAGGCCCAGCAGTGTGGCATCAGTGGGGGCCGTGGTAGAAACGTGGGGCCCTGAAACAGAATCTCTAGGGGCCCACCACATGGGGCGCATTCCTGTGACCCTAAAGATCAAGTGTGAAAGACCCAGGTCTAAGGGGCCGAGCGAACAGAGCACAGGCTGGGCAGGCACCCTGGGGTGCTCTGGGGGCTCTGGGAGTCAGGTGTGAGCTGGCAAAGCCCAGGTTTACCTTGTTCTGAACCGGCACAGCCAGTCCAGGGCTCCGAGGCCCTGCCTCCCGGCCGGAGCCAGCTTTCTTCATAGAGGTGAGGCAGTGGGGCATCTGGGCCTGGGGGCCTCCGCTGTTGGTTTTCTGCCTCTTAGGGGCTTCCCCATGGGGGGGTTGCAGGGCGGGGGGCTCTATGCCCTGGTGTCCTGGATGGGTTGTTGCGTGTACTCTTGAGCTGTGAATAGCAGGTGATGGTGCCGAGCTGGCTTGGCATCTGCTGGCCAGGAGGTTGGTGCCACAGGGTGCCCCCCGTGAGCCCCTGACCGGGGCCGTTCACCCACTCCCTCACTGGGATGGCGCATTCGTGCTGACTCGGGCACCCCAGCAGACGGTCTCGCCTGCCACCGCCCCTCCCGGCTGCTTGCAGCGGCCTCGTGGGTGGGAGTTTCATAGTTTGTTCTCTCTCCTCCTTTTACAGCAGGCAGCTAAGATCTCGGAGACTCGGCCAGGTCGACCACAGGTCTCATTCTCCGCCTGGGCGGCCCCTGTGGAGATAAGCAGACGCCAACCCCAGGGCAACAGCAAAGGACAAAGCCGCCTGAAGCTGGGCCTGGGGAGACTCGATGCTATCTTGGGAGGGCCGGGCTGGCTCCCTCGGACCCCCCAAGGAAGGTGACACCGGGAGAGTCTGCACAGTCCGGGCGCCTCGGGCGGTGTGCCGGCCAGCCAGGAGAGGATGAAAGTGAGCCCCCGCGATAACCCCATGGCAGGCCGGCCTCTGGGGGCTGCGGGGCCCATGACTGGCCATGTCTGTGCATCTGGCAATCCTACAAGTCAGCCAGTGCCTCAAACGTCTCCTGCGTCGCTCCAGCCCCAACATGTGGAGAGATGGGAGGCCTGAGAGAGGGGAGGGGGCGGCGGCCTGAACTCGGACAGAACTGGACAGGGGAGGCTGGAGGCAGACACAGGGCGCCTGGCTCAGCGCTGAAGATGCTCAGAGTTGGGGCAGAGCGGGATGGGAAGGTGGGAGGAGAGCACACACACACACACGTGTGTGTGTGTATTGCTGGAGTGTGCACAGGGAGATGAAGGAAGTGCACAGGACAGAGAACTGTTTTGGGGTGCTGTCCTTTCTTGGGCAAGTCTCTTGCATCACTGGTGTCTAACAACGGCTGTTCTGGCCGGTGTCTAACAACGGCTGTTTCCTGGCTGCGGCAGGCACAGGATTTTCCTTTTCTGCATGTCCACGCTCACCCAAGCCCTCGGGGTATTCTGGTGGGGTCTCCAATGCCTGACTTGAGCTCACAGTCCCCTGGAGGGACAGGGAGAGGCCTTCCAGAGGTGGGGGTGGGGGTCCCCCACAGCAGTCATGTTCATTGACAAAGCTATAGGAACATTAAGAATCATTTGCTGCATTTTAAGGCTCAAGTGTGAGGAGCCTGCCTGGGACCTGTGTATTCTGCATGCTGCTGCTATAAACCTGGATTCTGTGCCTTGGGGACAATCGTGTCAGCTCAGGCCCACCTGACTCTGTCCAGGCACCGGCCTCCTGGGGCCCCGCCCGCTGCTGGCTCTGAGCTGGAGTCTGAGGCTTTCAGTCTTGCCCTCAAGCTGGGGCAGGACTGGCCGTAAGCTCTGGGAGCCCTGGGGTCCCCTCAAGAGTTCCAGTAGCTTCCTGTACTTTCTCCGGCCCCCACTTCCAGCTGTCTTTGCTCAGGCAGCTGGTTCTCAGAAAGGGAAAGTAGGTTAATTTCAGACACAAAGAAAAATAGCAACCAGGGAAATGCAGGCCTCCGGCAGGCCCGGGGCCAGGGGCGCGCGTTTCTGGTCAGCTGTGTGGCCGTGTGGGGAGGTCCCAGGAGGCCGGTGACAGTCCCGCGCAGAGGCCTGGCTCTGCCTTCCGGCCCCCCCGACCCGCCTCCTGGGGTCCGCGTCCTCAGACAGTGTTGTTACTTCCTCTGAGCTGCTTCTGGTTTGATTTAGCCCTTCAGGAAAGGAAGTGGCAGGACCACATCAGAACGGCGGGTGTCCAGAGGCCGAAGACCAAAGGATGACATTTCGAAGCCTCTTCCCAGTCTGTGCTTCCTTTGTGTCTCTCACAGCCCCGGGACTGATGGTTTCTGTCTGCGTTTTCTAGATGCAGAAAAAACTCCAGAGATTCACGGTCTGAGCCAAGGTCACAGAGAGGCAAAGCAGCAGCGTGGGGTAGAGGTCCAGGGGCCGTCAGCGTGCTGAAATGCTGAGGACAGTAGAAAGGGGTGTGGGCACCTCACTGTCAAAGGGGCCTTTCCCGCTGTTTCATCCAGCAGGCGAGATGGTGAGCCCGGAGGCGGTGAAGGGTGCGGGAAGAGCCGTATCTTTTCCACGGCAGCCACACAGCGAGTATAAGGAAGTGCCAGGGGCTGTGCTGGCCACCTCCCCCTCAGCCTGGTCCCCGCAGGAACCCTTCACCTAAAGGGATGCTGCTTTATCATCTGTTTGCATCACCAGCGACACTGACCGGGGCCACGGGGGCAGAGCTTGACTTGGGCCCGGAGGCAGGCCGGGAGCTTGTGCAGTCTCCCTGTGTCTGGGGGGAGGGGAGGGGGCGCTGCTGGCCAGGCACTGGGTGGGGTGCTGAGGTTGCAAGAGCTTCCTGGGGTGCGCAGTGGTTGGGGTGCAGATGACTCCCTTTACCCTGGGAGGTTCATCTCAGGCTGGACAAGTCATCGAAACCACATCAGATAGTTTAAAAGAAAAAAAAAAAAACAGTGTCCCTGTGTGAATGGACGAGACTGGGGACCTTTACTCTGCATGTTAGGATCTGGGGCGTTAGGACAGAAAGGGGGAGACTTCACATGGCGGCTGAGAAGCGGGCGGCCTCATCCTCACTCTGAGAAGAGATTCCAAGAGGACCTATTGCTGAAAAACCTAGATGTGGATGAGACCCCCCCAACCCCCAGACGTATTCATGCAGGTATGTCTTTGTGGATGAGGGAGGAGATTAGGGCCAGGATGGAAGCTGCCCCTCGCTCTCCTCCCGCAAAATAATCAACTTTATTTAAGTGATGGTAACAAACCTCCCGAGGCAGAAAGGGCCTTGACTGACCTTCCCACAGCAAGGTGACAAGGGCTTACCCCGGACACATTGAGAAAAGTCTACACTGACTCGGACACATTGAGAAAAGTCTACACTGACTTTTCACCACACGGTCTAGTGGGAGGTCTGGGGTGCAGGTAATGACTCATTAAACAGGGCCCTCCCTGGTGGCATAAGGGGTTGAAGCACAGCATTAGGAAGCTGGCCATGGCCACTGCAGCCGAGTTAGATCCCCGGCCAGGGAGGTGACCCACATGGCGCGGCAGACCTCTCCTGTCTCCCTGCTGCTCCCCTCAGCACTGTACTTCATCCATCGGCCTGTTCTGCTCCCCACTCTGTCTCTGGTGAGTCCTCTAACCCCCCACACCTCAGTCCTAGATACATAAATAAATAAATCATTAAACAATTGCTAGGACAATACCTTCAGATATTGACGAGTGCTACAAAGGAAAAAAATAACAAAAACAGAATGGTACAAACAGCTTGCAGAGCAGGTGGGTAACTCTGTGAAGGTTCAGTCTACACCTGTCACATGAGTCAGCCATTCACTGCCCTGCTGTTTGCCCAAGCAGGTGCCAGTGACTGTTCCCAGAATGGCTGAATGACTCTGTTCTGCATGTCAGTTTCTTTGCTGAAGGTGCAAAGATACAACTTGGCAGAGACAGACAAGCTTGGGGAGGAACGTGAAAAAGTTCAACCTGAATTCCAAAGGTGGATCCCTAAAAGTCCGACGCCAGACTTAGCGGCATGTGCTTGTGGGGGCCCCATCGTGGGGCCCCATGGTGGAGGGACAGAGATGCTGCCACTCACCCTTATTCCTCTGCCTCTCCGCTGGGGCTCCCCCA